TTTTAAAACTACACGTTTTAGTCCGCCAGGTGTACTAAGACAGAAGAGTATACTTTAAGTATCTTTACGAAATAATAGTTCAAGTATGTTACGATCCAAGATAATAATAGAAACGAACATAAAAGGTTATTCATATGTATTCCAATCAAAAGCTATGTTATTTGCGCTACCATGCGTAGGCCTACTTCGGATAATTTAGCAACATAGCGTTGAATTAGGGTTGATTGAATCTGTATTGATCAATCAAGTATTCGACTCAGATCTACAGTAGTTTGTTTGGTCTTAAATCCGATCAGAGCTTAGCATCAGCAAGGTTTCAGGAAGCTTCCTTGTTGTATGTAAGGGCACTGTATTAAAATATTCTTACTCCGATCTTTGAAATGTTAAGGAAAGGAAACTAAGCTTGTAGTGTGCTGTTTTTCATAAACTCTATACAGGGTTGGGCAAATGTGTGGATACCCCTAGTTAACTTTTAAACGCGTTGCAATAGGAAAACCAAACTCGGCACATATTTACAACATAAGAAATTGCACTTTTTCATCAAAGTTACAACTTTGCCCCAGCCCCCAAAATGGGGTATTTTGGGGGCAGCCCCAAATTTTCAAATGTAAACACCTATCATGTGACCCATCATTTTAAAGGGTTTATCAAGGGAAATTGAATGGCGCAAACCAGAGGTCAATATCCCACGCCTAATCAAAATGGCAGCCATTTTAATTATTTAAGATGAGTAATCATGATAAAGTCTAGACACCCCCAGTTAACTTTAAAAATTAAATATTTTAATACTGATCAAAAGGTGAATTCTCTTTTTTCATAAAGGTATGCTGAGTTCAGTTTTCCTGCTATAAACTGTTAAAAAATTAATAGGGGATATTCCAAAATGACTACAAGAAATGAGGGTACAAGTTCTAACTTAAATGAAAAAGTGCATTTTTTTATGTTGTAAACATGTGCCAAGTTTGGTTTTCCCACTGCCACACGTTATAAAGTTAACTGGGGGTGTCCAGACTTTATCATGATTGCTCATGTTAAATTAAAATGGCTGCCATTTTGATTAGGCGTGCGATATTGACCTCTGGTTTGTGCCATTCAATTTCTCTTAATAAACCCTTTAAAATGAGGGGTCACATGACAGGTGTTTACATTTGAAAATTTAGGGCTGCCCCCAAAATACCCCATTTTGGGGGCTGGGGCAAAGTTGTAACTTTGATGAAAAAGTGAAATTTTTTATGTTGTAAATATGTGTCGAGTTAGGTTTTCCTATTGCAACGCGTTAAAAAGTTAACTAGGGGTATCCACACATTTGCCCAACCCTGTATAAATACAGTCATACATGTAAAGAGTAGCATCTTTGACCATATCCTTCACGTGGTTGGATAACTTATCTTCAATTTCAACGCAATTTCTGAAACTCATCAACCATACACATACATTTGTTAACTTGTTTGATCAAAATTCAACCAGTCGCCACTGCCACACCCAAACCTCATAACACATATATACAAACGATTGGGTGATATCGGTGACCTTCTGGGAAAAGCGAATCAGTTCCGTTACAGTGCTCTCAGACCTAGGTATTATCATGATGACTACGGTACCTGATGGACACCACCCCAAAGGGGAATGAATGCCCTAAAACGAAAACAGCCAAGGTATCCATTATTCACGTAAGTGTGCGATGAAATGTAGGCGATTCTTATTTCAATGTAAATGCAGCGGTGTAATAATTCACCAAACTACACCAGAACTGTAGGTGTCTGACACTTCTTGGCAACAACCCTACAGATAAGATATAGTTTGCCAACTACAAGGATTATCTGTGTGCTACAGTTCTAGTGGAAAACTTGAATACTAGTTTGAAAATTTCATAGTTTACAACTTAACATTTTATATATTTTAAATAGGTGATCATAGATCTGCATTAACGTAATATTATGATAATTTTAGTAGGATATCGACGGACATTTTACACAAGCGGTGCAGAGTAATTGAGTAGAACGGTAGATTGGAGTGATTTGACGGATGTAGCTTTGTTACTGACAAGGATCAGCTGTTTCTGTAGCCAGTACAATTTACTAAGAATGATCAAGGACAGCTGGGTCAAGTTTTCAACTAACAACAAGCCATTGATCAATCTCTGGATCAAACATTCTGAAATTGAAGTGTTATTATAGGCCTATACGTAAAGTAAATAAAGATACGTCTTATAACACTTAAAACATATATTTACGCTTATACTGTTACTCACAAGACGGTTAATATACAAAAGATGGTAAGTGGTGATCGATTTCGATTGGACACTCCAATCATCATCAGACCAGACCCAATAGGCGAATGATTCGTATAAGCGTAAATATATGTTTTAAGTGTTATAAGACGTATCTTTATTTACTTTCCGTAAATTTAATAACACGTACAATGCTGATCAAGAAGTTATTTATTTTAAACATCTTTGCCACCAAGACTGATAATCGAATATAATATAATAGGTTACGTACCTTATTCCGTCTTCAGTCTTAACTTAGTCAATGCTGGATAGTAGGGGTGGCAGTACTTGCGAACCAAGTAGGATCTGCGCATGAGTAGGGGTGGCGGTGATTGGGGGGATTTTGGAGTGGGGGGTCCTAACCTAACCTAACCTAACAATATAGTCCTCTCAGCTGTTAGGGGTAGTATCTTAGGTTGTTGGGAGGTAGTTAGGGTTGAAAACCATGTGACGTAACCTTATTTGGTACCTTTGTTTATTATTAAACTATTTCTGTTTATTTAGTTATGGATAAAAAGTGTATGCCTTGACCGGGTATTGAACCCCGGCCTCCTAGATGTTGATTTTATGTCTTAGCCATTTAGCTACGATACCAGTTACAGGTCCCGTGTTTATAGTGGTAAATAGATTTCTTAACCTATATATACAGAGTGTGTAAAAAAACATTATATTTTTATTTTATTTCATACATATCTATAAGCTGTAGTCCATAACAAATGCGAAACAAATGATAATTCACGTATCTAATGTTAAAAACAGCTGAAAGAGGGCTTAAATGGAACTTTACCGTCGACTATAAAAAACGGCCTTTGTAAAGGCCACCAAATGTTGAATGTTAAATTTACATTTTATGGATGTTATGTATTTTTGGGGCGTCTAACAGAGTAACGGGAGTGTGTAAATGTTTTTTTCTATTGGTTGGTTGTGTATGAACCTGTGTATGAGCCAAAGGTTCACGGGTTCGATCCTTACTAATCACCAAATGTGTTATTTCTTGTCAGGGTGATATTTTGAGTTTCAGTATGGTATTGTATCATAGTTCACCGTTTGTATATGAGCCTATGGTCCCAGAGGTTCTCAGGTTCGATCCTTACCAATCACCAAACGTGCCATTTCCGGTTAGGGTGTTTTCTTTTGTTGGTATGGTGTTGTATTATAGTTAACTGTCTGTATATGAACCTATGACCCAGAGGTTAACGGGTTCATTCCTTACCAATCACTAAACGTTTCATTTCCGGTTTGGATGTTTTCTGTTGTATGGTGTTGAAGTGAGAGTGGTGTGAGTTCTTGATCCTAGAGGTTTGTGGGTACGATCCTTACCAATTACCGACTGTTGTGTTAGAGTGACATTTTCAGTTTTAGAATTTTGTTGTTCTGTAGTTAAATGTCTGAGTATGAAACCAAGAGGTTATGGGTTCGAATCCCAACAGTCGCTAATGGTTTTACATTTGTCACTCTGAGTTTTAGTATGTGGGAGTAATTAACCGTTTGAATGTGATCCCAGAGGTTTGCGGGCTTGTAGGTTCACGGGTTCAATTCTAACCCGGTTGGGTTAGTTAACGGGTTCGATTTAACCCGGAGGGGTTAGTTTTAGAGGTTCACGGGTTCAATTCTAACCTGATTGGGTTAGTTTTAGAGGTTCACGAGTTTTATCTTAACTCGGTTGGGTTGGTTAATGGGTTCGATCCTAACCTGATTGGGTTAGTTTTAGAGGTTCACGAGTTCGATTTGAACCCGGTTGGGTTAGTTAACGGGTTCAATTCTATTCCGACTGGGTTGGTTAAGTGGTTTGATCCTAACCTGATTGGGTTAGTTTTAGAGGTTCACGAGTTGGATTTTAACTCGGTTGGGTTGGTTAACGGGTTCAATTCTAACCCGATTGGGTTAGTTTTAGAGGTTAACGGGTTCGATCCTAACCCGATTGGGTTGGTTTTAGGGGTTAATGGGCTCAATTCTAACCTGATTGGGTTGGTTCATGGGTTCGATTCTAACCCGAATGGGTAAGTTTTAGAGGTTCACGGGTTCGATACTTAGCTGATTATGTGATTTTGTATATGCATATGTAACCTCTGTTTTTCCATCAAATAACATAACCTCAAACCAAACAAGTTTATTAATTTATCATTAAGTGTCAATGGTATTTAAAACATTTTGTATAAATGTTTTACTTTGAGTTGTATTAGTTGTTATAGTTCACAAATTCTCCACGAGGTTGCAACACCATCGTCTTGGTATACACCAATTACTGTTAAAGCTTAAATTACGGTTAATTCTATATATGAGTGTATTAAATGTTTGATGTCTAACTATGCTCTGTATAGTTCTTAATATGAAGTTCAATTGCTTTTCGACCAACTGTTCCCTCCAAATAACATAGCCTCACTTTATGTATTGTATACGTAGGTTTATAAAATAAATACTTTGGATATTCTGCCGGAAAAATAAGGAAAACAACTGTGAAAGCTAAAACGGTTTATTTATAATATCTACATCCTGTGTGGTGGTATTGCATCATCTGAAACAAAAATTATAATTAGTACCACATCCGGTGTAGTAAACAAGTTATAACTTGAAAAAAATCCTGTACGCTGATTGGCTATAATAAGCTCACTCCTGATTGGTCATAAATAGGTGATCTGTGTAGTCATTAGCTACTCCCACCCCTTTCCCTACCGTATATATATTGCTCTGTATCACCATCGCATCACTTTGCTCTCAGCGTTTGACGAAGATGGACGTAAGTAACGTAGCTGCTCAAGTAGTAGAACCTGTAAATATAGTTGATGATTCTGTTGAAGTAGTTGTCCCTGTAAATGTATTAGATAAACACGAAAATTATGTTAAGAAATTCAGAATTCATGGTATTAACACTGTTTTCAAGTTTTCTAACCCCCCGCCTGAAACTAGTGAGATTGACTGGCTAAGACAAGGGTTTGGTCAAATTGTAAATGAAATGAAAGAAGTTTGTCAGGAGGGCGATCAATTAGGTTTCACTTTGCGTTCCCTTAACCTGAAAAGGGAAGAGTCGGGGTTTGTCACTTTTCGCCCTGCAAATGAAGTTAACGAGGATGTCTTGTGGCAAATATTTGGGGGAATTGTTCAATCAAATGCTGAATCGATCAAGTCCACGGACACATTTCAAGTAGAATGTACTCGAGTTAATCTCCCTGTAGGTAAAGGTAGGGTTAGACCTGGCCTGTATAACACCTTTGATGAAGAATGTAAAGCAAGAAGGGGGATTGTTGTAATTAATAATAAAGATAATTTGTGTCTTCCTCGTGCCTTGGTGGTAGCTATAGCTAATGTAAATAAAGACCCAGCATATGATTTAGTTAGAATGGATAAAGCAAAAAGACAGACTGTAAGGGCTCAAAAACTTGTACGTCGAGCCAGAGTCGAATTGCCAGAGGGTGGTGCCGGTATTGCTGAACTTGAAAAATTCCAGGACTTGCTTAAAGACTATAAAATCACTGTATACAACTACAATGCTAAAGGTCGTGATGTGTACTTTGAGGGAAATGTAGAGAAACCCAAGTTCAAAATTAACTTGTTGTTTCATAACCGGCACTATAATGTAATTACCAGTTTGACAGCCGCGTTTGTTTGCAATTATTTCTGTGACGCTTGCCATATCCCCTATGATCACAAAGGTAAGCACCGCTGCTCAAACATTTGCTCGCAGTGTCAGACCATCTCACCCCCTTGTGTAGAGGAGCATGGGGGAATCCTGTGTCCTAAATGTAACATGACTTACAAAAATCAACGCTGTTTCATCGCACATCAAGCCGATAGATGTAAAAATGTTAAGAAATGTTTAGATTGTGAAAAACTAGTCTGGCTTAAAGAGAGGTCCAAACATCACAAGTGCGGAGAAGAATTTTGCAATCCTTGTAGAGCATTTAAAGATCCAAACCATAAATGTTATATGAATCACAACGAGGGCAAACCTAAATCTAAAGACTACGTTTTTATTTTCTTTGATTTGGAAACCCGCCAGGACGAGTTCTTGCCCTCTAACCCTGAAAGTAAAGTACATAAAGTTAACCTGTGTGTCTCTCAACAATTTTGTTACCAGTGTATTGAGGGAAAATTCTGTATAGCGTGTAAAAACCGTACACGAGTGTTTGATTCCGACCCTATCAACCAGTTTATGAACTATGTAATGTATGTGAGAAAGCAGTTTAAAAACGTTTGTGTAATTGCACATAATGGGCAGGGTTTTGACTTTCAATTCTTGCTAAAGTACTTGTTGGAAGAAACAAAATTCACACCGGAACTTGTGATGCGGGGAACCAAAATTATCTTAATGAAAATTGACAATGTGAGGTTTGTGGACTCGTTAAGTTACTTCCCCATGGCTCTGTCTGCTCTGCCTAAAGCCTTTGACCTACCTCCAGAGAAAAAGAAAGGCTACTTTCCTCATCTCTTCAACACATTAGCAAACCAAAACTACGTGGGTCCTATGCCAGCCAAAGAGTACTATTGTCCCGAATCCATGTTTGAAAAATCGCACAATGACTTTGACAAATGGTACAGTGAGCAGGTTGCAAACAAGTATGAATTTAATTTTAAAAAGGAGTTGTTGGAATACTGTATGTCAGATGTTGATATCTTGGCTCAAGCCTGTCTAAAGTTCCGCTCAATCTTCCTAAAAGAGTGCAATGTTGACCCGTTTCTCGAGGCTGTTACCATCGCGAGTGCCTGTAATCTAGCCTTCAGACGAAACTTCCTAAAACCCAACACTATCGGCATCATCCCTAAGAACGGCTATCGATTAGTAGACAATCAATCGGCAATTGCGCTACAGTGGCTTTCTTGGGTCGAGGAAACCAACGGGATTAGGATCGATCATGCCGGACGAGGCAAAGAAGTCAAAGTTAATGGGATGAAAGTAGATGGGTTTGATGGTAGAAACATCTACGAATTTCAAGGGTGTTACTGGCACGGGTGCCCTAAATGTTTTCCTTACGACCGTTACGCCCCTTTGAAGGAGGATCCCTCCGATAGCCTACATCTTCGCTACGAGCGAACTAAAGCCAAAAACGCAAAGTTTACTGAACACGCATTGGTAGAGATGTGGGAATGCGAATTCCGTAAGCTTAAAAAGGATCAAAAGCTCAATCATCTGGACAGTCTGCCCATCTTGAACAATCTCCCACTAGACCCACGACAGTCTTTCTTTGGAGGTAGGACTGGCAACGCGAAATCCTATCACAAATGCGCCGAGGGGGAAACTATTCAATACGTCGACGTTTGCTCCCTGTACCCGTACGTTTGTAAGTATGGGAAGTACCCTGTAGGCCACCCAACTATCTATGTAGGAGACAAGGAGTGTCGTGAGAGAGGTATGGAAGTAGATGGGTTGTTAAAATGTAAAGTCCTGCCACCATGCGATCTCTATCACCCGGTACTCCCCGCAAAAATGAACGATAAATTGATGTTTGTTTTGTGTAGGACTTGTGGGGAGATGATGTATCAGGGAGAGTGTAACCATGATAGCGATAATAGGGCACTTGTTGGGACTTGGACTATGGATGAGATCAGGAAGGCGGTAGAGAAAGGGTACATTGTACTGAACATGTATGAGTTATGGGAGTACCAGGTAGCGACTTATGAAAACGGGGGCTTGTTCACTGACTTTATCAATAAATTCTTAAAGATGAAACAGGAAGCTTCGGGCTATCCAGAGTGGTGCAAGACTGAGAAGGACAAAAACAAGTATATTACAGATTATTTAGGACATGAGGGAATAAAGCTAGAGAAAGACAAAATTGTTAAGAACGGGGGTTTGAGGTCTTTGGCAAAATTAATGCTAAACAGTTTCTGGGGAAAATTCGGACAGAGGGAGAACCAGACTAAAGCCACAATCGTTAGGGACTCCAAAATACTTTTCCAAATGTTCTCATCCCCTGAAATAGATATAAATAGGCTCCAGACCGTTAATGACGAGGTTGTGGTTGTTTCCTGGGAGTATCTAGATGAGGTAGGAGAGCCTCTAAGCAACGTAAACGTTTGTATCGCGGCGTACACCACTGCACAGGCGAGACTCAAGCTCTATGATCATCTTGAGGCCCTAGGAGTTCAAGTATTATATTATGACACAGACAGTGTCATTTTTTACTACCGCCAAGGCTTATACAGAGTTCCTACGGGAGATTACCTCGGCGAAATGACTGACGAATTGGCAGATTACGGACCCGGCTCTTATATTACTGAACTTGTCTCTGGGGGGCCTAAAACTTACGCGTACCTTGTCTGGTCAACCAATCAACAGAAATTGATCCCAGTCTGTAAAATCAAGGGCCTCACCCTAAACTTTAAAACATCAAGAGTTGTAAACTTTGAAAAACTGAGAGAAATGATCCTAAGTGAAGTAAAACAGTCAATTGAAATTGAAGAAAACAGAATCAGAAGAACTAGAGATAGAGACATCGTTACCATCACTGAGAGCAAAGTGTTTAAAATCACGGGGCCTAAGAGAAGGTATGAAGGAGAGTACGACACTCTACCTTTTGGATATAGAAAAGTCCAAAGAGACATTTAAATTCCTTGGTAAATAACTTTGTAATTTTTCATTGTATATATTATTGTAAATAACTCTCCTAATAAAAAACATGTCTATAGATAAATACTTATGTAACCCGACCAAAGTGTGAGTGTGTGTACATTGAGAAGTTCAGATTGGAAAGAACCTGTGCTACTCCTTGTACTTGTGTGAATGTGTGTACACTGAGGTGCTCAAATCTTGATGGACTTGAGCCACTCCCTGTACTTGTGTGAATGCTATTGGTCACTGGCGCGGCTGACTAAAAGGTCCGTAAACCATGTGTGAAGGTCACTGGCGTGGCTGACTAAAAGGCCCGTAAACCACGAATGTTAAAACTTTTGGCAGGATTACATAACTAAATCTATAGACTTGACAAAAAAAAGCTTTGTAAAAGTAAGGGAGAGGGCGTTTATAGTGACTACCAGGTAAACTGGACTGGCTATAAACGCTTAACCTGGCCTCACTTAATGAGGGGATAGTCTCAAACCCTATCCAACACAAAGCTATATCATACGTAACAGGCGTTAAGATACATCATTCTACTAATAATGGATGGCATAGCAGAAGAACTATACCAAATGTAATGTAACTCTTAGATGATCAAACGACCTGTATAAAGATGATATAGAAGAGATGCAACCTAGTGGAAAGCATGTAAACTACAACAAAAGTATAGTGGACAACTGAAATCGTTATTACAGATGGTTAAACCTAACAACTCTACATCTTGATAGGGTGGTACATTCAAAAACGTATGAGGAGAGGAGGTCAAACTCTTACTTAAATCTATCTCCCATAAGAGCCTCTAGTTAAAGAGGATGATTATTGCACTATTCTGTAAATAATACAAGTTTACCATATTGATTTTACACTTGAGGTGTTAAAGACTCAAAAACAGGAAACTAGTGTTGTATTGAGTGAGAAATCAAATTCTAACCCATATTTAATACTTAATAAACATACCTAGGTACAAAGGTAACGTTATCACTGCTACCCACAGTGTTATCCTGTGATGGTAAATAGTACAGTTGTTCGTGACAACACCCTACCTGTGATTCATGAGTGTAATGTGTAGGTACAAAGCCCCCTGATTGACCCTCAAGTGACTGACTTTCGTTGAAAAACTAATATTCTTGACAACGGTACATATTGATGTAACAGACTTTGAAACCTTGGTTGTAGTAAATAACAACTAAATTGGATCAGGGAAAGGCAAATTAACCCATTATCATGGCAAGCCACAACAGCGATATAAATATTAACAATCGCTAAAAGGCGAGTATACACAAATACATCATCAAGACATGAACATCAAGATCCCCTATGATAGCTAAATCTTGTAGATATCCTAAAAATCCTGTAATCACAAGCCATGGAACCTTACAAGCGGATAATAATATATGAGTTAGTATTGGTAAAAATATATCTGTTTTAGCCAAGAACCCTTACGAACCTGAAAAATTAAATACCCAAGTCTATTTATTTACGTACCTTTTATAAGCTACAACTAATAATGTAACCTATGTTTATTGATTAACAGATTGGTTTTTATTACTTTCATCCTATTTATCATAGGTGTTCTGAAGACTATTGTAAACACATTATCTTATAGCATTTGTACCCGAATGTTCCATATGGCTTTCAGCTCTGAATGTAATGTGACACCTATTGTCTACGCCTCTTTTAAGTTGTCACTGTTTTGAAAAGTATTTAATGTTAAGCAATAGTATTAATGGAGATGTCTCTTAGATTGACATGAAATAGATACACTTGAAGTTCTAAGTAAAGCCCCTTTTACTGTTATTGAGGTTTTACCGTACTCTGAATAAAAAACCTCTTTTACAACACAAAAACCATCGATATTCAGCGTATACTCTAAAGACCGAGGAATGTACAATTCATTTCAACGAAGAATGCAAAGCAAGACAGGGAATAGCTGTTATAAATAACACTGACAACTTATGTCTAGCTAGAGCAATAGTGGTAGGTAAAGCCTATGCAAAAATGGATCCACAAATTTGAGGTATTCACGAAGACAAGAGCATGAGACAAACAAATAGGGCAAAGAAACTTATAGCTAAAGCGTGTGTAGGAATGCCTGAAGAGGGATCAGGTATCCCTGAACTTGAAAAGTTCCAGGCACTCTTAAAGAAATATAGAATAACCGTGTATAATTACGATAGCAAGGGTCGGAATGTATATTTCTCTGGTGTGAATAGTGATGCAAAATTTAAAATCAACTTATGTACCATGATAACCACTATAATGCAATTACCAACTTAACCGCTGCTTTTGCGTGTGTGTACTTTTGCGATGTTTACCATGTCCCATATGATCACAAAGGAGCCCACAGATGTTCAATCATCTGTCCATCTTGTTACACCTTCTCACCTCCTTGTGTGGAGGAAAAATGGTGGGATATCTTGCCGCTATTGTAACCGCTTTTTTAAAAAAATGAACGGTGCTTTATTGCCCATCAAAGACAAATTTGTAAAACAATTAAGTTCTGCCGAGGGTGTGAAAAAATTATATTCCCAACTAAACGTAAATCAACTCATATGTGTGGAGAGTTTACACCGATGTTACATAGTTTTCATATAAGGTACTGAAGGCAAGGGTGTCACCTCCGGTGGCAAACGGTGTTGCAGATCAAGCTCCGAAATTCGATAGTTTTAATCTGCTGTATAATAGTATTGGTATAACACAATTGTTCTTTTCAGGTGGTAAGTCAAAAGCTTTTGGTAAGGCAGACAAAGACATGGGGAAGTAGCTAAGGGAGTCAATAAATCTAACGATAGCAACCTCCATCAAAATAATTTTAGTTCCTCTTGGAATGATGTTTGGTGTGAATTTTGTCTCTTCGAGGAAATACCTAAGTGTAAACTGAAAGTCAAACCCTTGTCCGTTGTGTGCAATTACACAGACGTTTTTGAAATGTTTGCGGGTTTCCATTACATAGTTCATGAACTGCTTAACAGGATTGCTATCAAATATTTTATAACGTTCTGAACAAGATTCACATTCACCCCATTGGTGCTTTTGAAACACATAAATTTACTTTATGTAACTTAGTCTCGGGATCTGAGGGTAGGGACTCATCCTGGTTGTTTCAAGATCAGAGAGAATAAATAGGTAGTCACGGTCTTTAGGGCTTTTCTTGTCTATCTGAATGTAGCATTTATGATTAGGGTCTTTAAATGTACCATTAGGGTGACAATATACCTCTCCACACATATGAGTTGATTTACGTTTAGTTGGGAATATAATTTTTTCACACCCTCGGCAGAACTTAATTGTTTTACAAATTTGTCTTTGATGGGCAATAAAGCACCGTTCATTTTTTTAAAAAAGCGGTTACAATAGCGGCAAGATATCCCACCATTTTTCCTCCACACAAGGAGGTGAGAAGGTGTAACAAGATGGACAGATGATTGAACATCTGTGGGCTCCTTTGTGATCATATGGGACATGGTAAACATCGCAAAAGTACACACACGCAAAAGCAGCGGTTAAGTTGGTAATTGCATTATAGTGGTTATCATGGTACATAAGTTGATTTTAAATTTTGCATCACTATTCACACCAGAGAAATATACATTCCGACCCTTGCTATCGTAATTATACACGGTTATTCTATATTTCTTTAAGAGTGCCTGGAACTTTTCAAGTTCAGGGATACCTGATCCCTCTTCATGCATTCCTACACACGCTTTAGCTATAAGTTTCTTTGCCCTATTTGTTTGTCTCATGCTCTTGTCTTCGTGAATACCTCAAATTTGTGGATCCATTTTTTGCATAGGCTTTACCTACCACTATTGCTCTAGCTAGACATAAGTTGTCAGTGTTATTTATAACAGCTATTCCCTGTCTTGCTTTGCATTCTTCGTTGAAATGAATTGTACATTCCTCGGTCTTTAGAGTATACGCTGAATATCGATGGTTTTTGTGTTGTAAAAGAGGTTTTTTATTCAGAGTACGGTAAAACCTCAATAACAGTAAAAGGGGCTTTACTTAGAACTTCAAGTGTATCTATTTCATGTCAATCTAAGAGACATCTCCATTAATACTATTGCTTAACATTAAATACTTTTCAAAACAGTGACAACTTAAAAGAGGCGTAGACAATAGGTGTCACATTACATTCAGAGCTGAAAGCCATATGGAACATTCGGGTACAAATGCTATAAGATAATGTGTTTACAATAGTCTTCAGAACACCTATGATAAATAGGATGAAAGTAATAAAAACCAATCTGTTAATCAATAAACATAGGTTACATTATTAGTTGTAGCTTATAAAAGGTACGTAAATAAATAGACTTGGGTATTTAATTTTTCAGGTTCGTAAGGGTTCTTGGCTAAAACAGATATATTTTTACCAATACTAACTCATATATTATTATCCGCTTGTAAGGTTCCATGGCTTGTGATTACAGGATTTTTAGGATATCTACAAGATTTAGCTATCATAGGGGATCTTGATGTTCATGTCTTGATGATGTATTTGTGTATACTCGCCTTTTAGCGATTGTTAATATTTATATCGCTGTTGTGGCTTGCCATGATAATGGGTTAATTTGCCTTTCCCTGATCCAATTTAGTTGTTATTTACTACAACCAAGGTTTGAAAGTCTGTTACATCAATATGTACCGTTGTCAAGAATATTAGTTTTTCAACGAAAGTCAGTCACTTGAGGGTCAATCAGGGGGCTTTGTACCTACACATTACACTCATGAATCACAGGTAGGGTGTTGTCACGAACAACTGTACTATTTACCATCACAGGATAACACTGTGGGTAGCAGTGATAACGTTACCTTTGTACCTAGGTATGTTTATTAAGTATTAAATATGGGTTAGAATTTGATTTCTCACTCAATACAACACTAGTTTCCTGTTTTTGAGTCTTTAACACCTCAAGTGTAAAATCAATATGGTAAACTTGTATTATTTACAGAATAGTGCAATAATCATCCTCTTTAACTAGAGGCTCTTA